GCGCAGTTACACTATTTTAATGGAATTACACTGATGCCAATTATACTCGTAATAAATTATGAGGGCTAATATAATTAATGGTAATCCCTTTATCATGGCCAATAACCACCTAGGAATGTTAGCAAATCCTTCCAAGAACAAGAAGAAAGCAAACTAATGAAACCAACTCTGGGTCCAACCTGTTTACCTCAATTGCATTATAAGCTGCAGAAGATCAATAATGATTTTAAGAAATGAAAATACTTTACATCTGAAAGACCATAAGTATTGGACAATCCACTCAATTACACCACATTCTGAATCAACAAGAATTGAAAATGACAAATCTTGGTTTCTAACTATTTCCCCTACAACATATGTTCTCCATACAAGATTGAAGGTTCTCACAGCAGTTGATGTTGGTCTTCTTTCTTGTGGTGTCATGTGCATTGGAGACGGAATGTTCCTCTGAAACACTGGCGTTTATCTATAGGCCCACATACTGTCACAACCCAGAAGACCGACATCAACACATAATCTCCATGTTGAATAGTTTTTACAGTCTGTTTACACAGTAAAGTGAACTTTGGGTCATCTTAGTTCAAACCCAAATAAGTTACACAAAAGACTGAGCATAGCACGACAATGTAGGTTAAAAATGTCTCTATTGTATAAATTTATTTACATCAAGACATTTTGGCAAAAAGGTGAATACTTTGTGTTATTGCCGTGATGTTTTGGAGCGTTACTTCCATGGGCATTACAACATGCTGCCAAGCATAGAATAAATGGTATATTTTGCAGTCTGTATGGCAAAACTAATCAAGGCATGTCTTTTATAAGGAAGTTAAATCCCTTATGCATGGACATAATTTAATCCACAACTTTGTTAGTTGAACCAGTATTGTATCAGGTATTATATTTTGGGAGACATTTTGAAAAATCAAACATATTGGCCTCTTCACCACAAAATATTTCTCAAATTGTTTTGCCGCTTTTCGCGCCGTTCCTGACAGGAGGGGAGATGAGTTGTCTGAACTTTAAACCTCCCCTCTAAATACTCCGCTGACTTAAACTAAACTAGGACGTTTTATTAAAAAAAATTATCACATTACTTGATGTTCCCATTAGTCCCTTTCAAAATCATGTCACCACTGACACTACAGTGACACATTATCATCATCACCAAATATAACCAAGTGATAAAAGTACACAGCAATCACTCTACACCCACACAACAGTACTTAACAGCTACAGGAGATAAAATATAACAGAAGGGGTAAAAATGAGTCAACCATCATACAATATATGCAAACAACCAATAACCAGAAGTGTAAACCAAAAAAGACATACAAAAGAAAAAAATTAAAAGAAACTTCAAGGCTCTAAATTCAGTTGTTTTGTCCTTGACCCCCATCATCATCACAACACCGTACTTCAAGTGTGCTGCCTCGGAAAAAATAAAATCAAACACTGCATCACACAACTTCAAAACAATACGATACAATACAATGCAATACATTACAATACAACACACGATACCTATAACAGAATAAAAGCGGTAATTCTTACACAGAAAAACAAAATGTTTCACTGACGAATAAAACAGGCTTGGCAAGGCACGTGTTGTGTCTGGTAGAGGTTGTTTGCCAGGCTGATCAGTTAGAACAATACACTAAAACAAGTTCCTTCTATGAAATAAAGAATTCTACATATCATCACTGTCAGTACACAATACATAACAAACAAGATGTTTAGTCCTGACCCATACATATGAGACACGCGTACACACCTATCCTTGAAAATAATGTGCCAAGACCAGCAACGGAAAACCTGTCAAAGCTCGCTCACAATATTTCAAAAGTACTTTGTGCACCAATGGTTTGCCATCACTTTCATAACACATTATCTTAGGATATAAAGAGGCATGTTACGTCCATCCACACATGCATACCTCCACATACCACAGTTCCTGCTTGATGCAAATTAGGCACATTTCATTATTTACTTACCAGCATTTTTAACTTCTTACAAAAAAACAGAACATGAAACTTTTCCTCTACTACTTGTAAAAGCTTTTTAGAAAAATGCTGGTGGACCTAATGATTACTGCATAACATTTCAAACGAATAACTTGGGACTGTGTCGGTTAGCTAGTACTGGAAACAGATATCAAAGTTAGTTCAACGTCTACAAAACTTGATGAAAAAACCTGTAATTACAGTTTGTTACACTCAGTGTTAGGTGTGATACAGATCAGAATGGCTCGTCAATACAGAGATCCAGGTTCAATCCAACAGCAATCGAGTGCTGGATAAATAACATTTGGGCAGGCTTTCTTAACACTGAACTGAGGGTTTTCCCATCATTGCCCCAAAGGTACACAACTGATAAGTTCAGCCCTGTGAAGTATATCTCTTGCAGGCTTTGCCCCTGACCCGACACCATGCCGACAGAAATTACTTCAATGTTGTGTTCAGATACAAATCACGTTTCTTTAGCATTCTGCAACTCTTGCCAGACTGTTCCTGAAGCACCCCATTTTCCACATCCAATTTCAACTTCCGTACTTCAATTTCATAGCGAAAAGTCATAATATAAAATTTCAGTTAATCTTCATATTAATACAGACCAATGGAACGAACACAAAACTTTGCTTTAGTATGAAATGTGCCTAACCAAGACATATTAAAATCTCAACCCTTGAGTTAGCTTCGATAACAAAGCAAACATGCTGACAAAGGCATATAACACGCCTGAAGCTGAACAAACATGCTCCTTAGTGCTCATCATTTTGCCTGCACACTCAAAGTCTGGAGGTAAGACAGTTCAGTTCACACCAACTATAATCAAGGTAACATAAGACTCTCCAATAAATTAATAAATTGTACCAACAATGCTGTAAATGTAAAAACCAAACAAAAGACACTAGAGAATAAACAATGTGAATAGTCAAAGCTGTGGCTAATGAAAAAGAGGACATGTGTCACACATCAGAGTAGAAGCTGACGATTAGTATAATTATTTGAGGATAAACAACAACATCCCTCACTGAGCTGTTGCATACATAAACTCTACGAATTCTGAAAAAAGGTGAGCTATGATACATGAATAGCTCAGCATTGTTCTCCAATTCTTGAAACATTCTTCGGAAATTTAAAAAATAAAATAAAAAAGGTTTGGTCCTAATGGCCATTGCGTTAGCAAACTACAAATTTATTTTCAATGACATAGGCAAAATATCAGATGGAGTAGTAGTTGAAAATACAAAGAAATTCTTTTAACACTTCTGCAAGAACAACTGTGACAGAAAAGACACAAACATTGATGACATTCCTTAAATTTTTATTGGAAGTAAAGCATTTTCATTGCATTAACTTCTTTAAACCATTCGGAAAGAATTAAACCGGGAACATATTTTTAACTACTGCCTAATCAAAGTCATATGGAAGCTAGACCTTGAATACGCATGTCTCTCTAAAAAAAATCAAGCCATGACAAGACTTCATTTCAGCCAAGAAACTGATGGTACATCTGGATTATGTCTGTGACTGTGCACCCAAAAATGTGCCACCTTACCTGCAAACTTAACAGCAAGATAGGCAAAATGATGAACAAAACGGAGCATGTACGACTAGCGTGAGACGACGCTAGACTAGTCAGTATCAAGCACGAGGTAATTCAATTCTGATATACCTCTAAGTCAATACACATTACTTTCTGTTCTGAACACAATATTAAAAGGACATGTTGAAGAATGAATTTCAGAATAAATGTAAACATTACAACCTTCTCTAAAAATTAAATGATTTTCAGACCTATCTCATGGCATTATTTGTTCTCGTTACCTTAAAACAGAAACCGCAGGTGTATTCATTCCTGTAACTTTTTAAACAAATGATGCATATTCATAAACCCTGGCATAAAGTTTATGCCACTAGATTACATCCTGATACAATATTATTAAAACCTTATCTTACACAACATAAAAACGCCAGGTGTGCGTATTTCTGAGATTAAATAACACTGCTGTCACTCAAAACAGGATACTGAAATTTTTTCAACAGAGCTTGAAGAGACATGCAGCGTTGTGTAATCATCTTCAGGCTCTGGATATAAATGTGTTCTGAGATCTTTCTGCACATTTTGCTGCAAAATAAATTCCACTTCTTCCTACTTAGATATCATTTCAACAATTTTCTAAAATGACAATGAAAAAATATATAACTGAACAAGTCATAAATAATCTGAATCATACAAATACAGCAGTCACAGCTGTCAATTTAATCTCAACGCATTCACTGAATCCTGTCAATAAATATCATATGACCATGAGAGAGATCTATAAAGCAGGATGTAATGTAAATTACACACTCACACTGAATAAAAAAAGTTTTCCCACACTTTATTTCAAACCGCATACACTACTTGAACTAGACGATCGATAAAAACATTGACTAGACCAATAATAAAATCTAACAATTTTGTCTTACTCTCCATATTTTAAATAAATTATTCTGGGTTTTCGTGAAATAAACTCTACTGTAACGATGAAACCGCTTATTTATTACGACAATTTTATGAATATGTAATCCTCTTGATTGTATCTCTAACATCACAGACAGTGATCACATTATGTATTAAATGGTTACAAGTAATACAACAATGGGAGAAACAGATCACTTATGAACAGACATTATTAAACAGCTGTCAAATAATGATACATCAGCGATGTGGCTCACTTTTGTGCTGAAAAAAGTTGTTACGTTCACCTAACCACTATGGAAAAAAAAAAACAGAAAACTAGACAGTTCTACATGAAATGATACAATTTGTGAAGACTGCTATATTAATGGCAAAAACAAAATGCTACTAATGCAGCACACCTGGGAAAACTTTTCTTTTTCCAGTCCGTAGTGCATGACACAAATAACATAGCTGCTATTTCTGTCAGTCTGGATTCTGACATTTATTGCTAGCTTACCAATATCAGAAAACATAAAATTCCACTTGGCACCTACCTCGTCAAAGAAAACTTGAGTCTTTCTCAGAATGTGTTTCAACTCTGTTAACTCCAAGAAGTTTCTTTTCAGGGCTTCAGCATTCTGATTCACTTCACGCAACTCATTCTCCAATTTTTCAAAGGTAGCCTGTTTACAACATATTACAGCAGTCTGGGCATCATCGAATTTATCAAACATTATTTACACAAAATTCACTCTACTTTCTCTTTTGCGTTGAGAGGGGTCATGCTTTCAATCACTGACATCATCCCCTGTACTAAAGGTCAGGCCTGCCAATCACATTTCCATAACACATATTTAAAACAACAATAAACTACTACTTCGCCCGATCCACGTGTTGTCTACTGATGCTGTCCACACAACAATACAGAATAATTTCAAAAGATTCCAACTTTCAGAAAATACACAAATTTAAATTTCTGGGGGGGGGGGGGGGGGGGGACAGGATCATACATTAAAAGTAAAGTAAAGCTGTCCCACTAGATGCCATATAGGTTGTTTCGGGGGAGCGGAGGTATAGCTCCTACTCTTTCTTGACCTTGACACTAGAGTGGTCAGTGGTCAGCATCACGCCCCGGTCGCACTTCACTCTCGGGAAGGGACCCCGCTACCCATTGGATGGAGGTTGGATGGGCCACAGAGCCAATCTGGATGAAGAGGCTAGAGGAAAAATCCTCTGCCCCCGTCGGGGATCAAACCCCGGTCGTCCAGCCCGTAGCTAGTCACTATACTGACTGAGCTATCCCGGCTCATGATGACAATAATATAATGGAATATAAAGTGATGAGTCAAAATTCCTCTGATACAATACACTGCCATGTGACAGTCTACAAGAGTAATTCTGCTAACAGTGAAGACTAACCAATTGTGTGGCATCTGCTGAATGCATACCAGAAAAATAAATGCTGTCTGGTGTGATTCCATTTGGTTTTAAACATTAGAACACCAAGTTGAATTACTTAAGTAACATAAATCACAACCTCATATTGCACAGGAATTGCCTACAATGAACAAGGACCAGTGGCCCGAACATAATCCATCCCTGATTCTGAGAGACCAGTAACTACTTTCGACATTAACTCGATTTGTACTTGCTTACCTCGAGATCTATCATCTCACGAGGTTGAGGTGCTTCAGGATTTTCACCCGTGTCCAGCATCGGTATCCCATCTTTCTTGATTTCTTTCTCCAAATAACGGAGCTTGCGTTCCATCTCATCACACCGACGGACTTCATTTACAAATTTCCGTTGGAAAGCGTTCACATCAGGATTCAGCTGAAGAGATACCAAAAGGTGGTCAGTTCTACTACATAAAAGCAGGCAACTTCTGATTTTATATAAATTGATACAATAATTCTCAACCTAACCTTTTGTTATTAACATTAAACATTCATTTGCACATGCTCTGATTTTGGATACAAATGTGAACAGCCACACAAAACATTAAAAAGTACTCATACATGGCAGAAAAAGCATCTATAACCTTCTGTACATTATTATAACAAAGAAGAATCAACAAATGATCTACGTAAGAAATCTGTTAACACTGAGGGTCTCATAACAATTGATAAGGGTTAATAACAATGTGAGAAATGTCATAAATTTGCTGCTTTCACCATTTTGAGTACGTAAATCAATATTAATTGAGGACCAGTGTTATTCTACAGAAGAATTTACCTCAAGCAAAAATTCTCAGCTATTACAAATACGTGTAAGCAATAGTGGGTATGCTTTCTTGTATAATTATTGTTGTGGTAACACTGCAGCTGACTGTCACAACTATGTAATTTGTATTAAAAACAAGGACTGTATTTGTGCTAAAGGTTATATTGAATGTAAATAAATGATATTATATTATATTCTACCAAATCATCATCTGCTGTGTTCTCCCAGTTATGTCTTCCTCCAAGCTTATAACAAATGGCCTACTTCCCAGTATAATATACAAGAGAATATGATAAATATTTGTGTTTTGGACAACATATATTCAAGGACTGAAACAAATTAAACCAAACTACTTTTAAAACTAAATTTATACAATAAATTATTACTAGTCAGAGACTTGCATTCATAAACTCTTAGAAACAAGCATTTCACAGCCTTGACAAAGACACGTCTATAAAAATTAGCTCATATTAACTTGTTACAATGTAGCAATGCACAGGTTGTATAGTGTGAAATGAGCTACCTAATGAAACTACAATGCAACAGGTGGTACTATGGTTGTAGATGGCACGCAAATGAGGTATTTAGCAAGGGCATAGAATTTTCATGAGGCCTATGGCAGAAGAAAGCCAACCCCATTTATACAGTTTTTCCAGTAAAAGCATTTCCAGCAGAGTATTATGAATTTTCTGCAGTCAACCATCTGGATCTTTGTACTCTTTTTCAATCTTGGTTCCTGAAAAACCAGACCACCATAAAGCCAAGAACATGGAGACTGCAAAGGATATAAATTTTAGTCATATTTACTACGTATTTTCTCAAAAACGAAAGAGAGGTTGGGTAAGAGCTTAAAGTGCAAAATTTTATACCCACAGGATGTGGCATCAGCGTTCGGAATGGCCATACTTACGAATGTGTAACAAAACATTAATGGAACAGAAAACCCGTGCATTTTTAGTTTGGCCTCATTAGTCATATGACTGGTGTTCAAGGCCTATTAGAGAAGTGGAAATGGATAAAATATAAATTTATAATATAAAGTTGAAACATTCCGATTTTCAAAACGAAATACACGACTCTTGAAAACTGTCATGCACTAACCTACTTTATCAATTTTAAATATTTACTTACATCTCGAAATTGTACAAGCCCAAGTTCCCCTAATTCTGATACACATGCATATGCAGCTTCACTCTGTAAGAACAGCTGGCATAATGTCATTTCTTCGCTCCGAAATAAGTTCCCCATATTTACAGTACTCTGTGCTAATATTCTTCTCACAAAACCAGCCACAATATCAAACACTGAATCCACAACAATCACCAAACTGTGGAGACAGGCACAGGCTACTCCTCTCGTCAGGTGACTGGTAGAATGACGTCATATCGTCATCGATTGTCAACGACATCTTTCAGAAAGAAAGAGCAATCGTGATGACAACCAGGTTAAAATTGATTACGTCTACATCTGTTTACAGATGTGCAAATTAATGCTTTTAGCTGGTAAGGAAACATCGACATCACATTCCCTGATAAGCCTGGCTCAGGTTCGACGCAAGACTTTAAAATCTAGCAAGGGGTAAGATATGCGAAAACGCGGATAGCAAAAGAACATATAACGAGACACCTGTATATGATATTATAAATGGGGGCAAATAACTGAAACTATATGCCAGTGCTGAGATCCTAAGCAAATAAGTTCACCTGTTACCCAATCATTTTCTTTAACAAATTTGTTTTCGTTACAAAGAACTAATTTAAAATCAAATATTTTAACCTTCCCGCGGGCCCATTGTGTCTGTGATACCGAGGCAAAACAAAACGATTATTTAGCTCAAGGCAGTAAAGCTTCCCCGTTCCTCTGCAGCATCCTTGCCAGATCCAGCAAGTAGTCCATATCATTGAAAACTCTGTGTATCACACAAAGGTATTAAATATTTCCACCTTCGAGTCTTAGATCCGTTGTTCCCACTCACGTATAATTTTTTCTCCAAATTTCTTTTTTAATCTGCCTTTGCATAACTAACAAATGTTTGGTAAAATTGTTATTTGTTTAGCATGAGATCGGTTTTATGAAACTGGGCACTAAGATTTGGTGACGACTATTGTACTTTCGTTGGAAAGCCATCTGCAGCGTGAGAAGCAGTTGATAACATAGACTAACCAACAAACTGCATGAAAAAATATTCTGTATATATAAAAAATGGTAAAATACTCGTCATTATAAACATAAAATACTCACACCCATTATCTCTCTGGCTCTAAATTTCTGCAATCTGTCCTGGTGAATTTTATGAATAAGGTAGCTCTGTAATGAAACACACCAATATTCCATTCCAGCATGCCGACAGAAGTGCACCAAACCACTTTAAAACAAAAACGTGCATCCTGCACGCAAGTTAAATTGCAGGAAACATCCATCCATGACTACAACAGCAACGAACTTCAGTAAATTAACTCTGACTGTTTCCCTTTCAGTTAACTCAGCACAATCCAATGTGGCTGATCCAATGACTGCTTTGTTCACAATTCACTAACATGGGAAATATTTTTGGTTGCCCACACATCAAAATGTGTGATGACTTGTGGGCTGCTGAGTGCAGTGGCGACAGAAGTTTGCTTTCCACTCCACTCCACTGCACTCAGCAAATCTCATGTAAAACTGCATGGTTGTCCAATGTTATGCTCTACAGGTCAAACCCTCTCTCTGTCTCTTTCTCTTTTTAGCCATCGGATAAGGACTTTGATAAAGGAGCAGTAAATATGACATACTAAATAAAACTCCAATTACAAAGCTACATTAATAATATTTAATTATAAAATACATTTCCCTGACCCATTAACTAGCTCGAACCAGACCAAGTATCTCACCTACAGTCACACTAGAACAAACAAGTACTCACCCAGACCACACACCACCGCGAGCACGAGCGACACAGATTCCAGTAGCAACCTTTCTTATTAGCACAACCTTTCTTATTAGTGAGAGCCCCTTTTTAGTACCAATCCTTCAATTTTATACAGATCAAAAGACGCGCAGTTATGACGTGGTTCACGGGAACCGCCCTGGAATCGGCGTTTCTCATTGGTCAATTGGATTCGTAATTCCCCTAACCACACTATGGAAGTCTCGTATGCATTATTTCCCAAGAAAACACAGAACTTGTATGCTCACTTCTGCGGTAGGACGAGTGGTTGGTTTAATCCGACTTCTCCGGACTTCCCACCAGTCATCCTGTATATTGCGTAACACTGTGAAATCCCAAGACTTCTGAAACAAGTGCTACCCAGGGGTGCAAATACACGGCAAGGGGCCGCTGGCACAACACCAAAGACACTTCCCTAGTAAGAAACAATAACATTATGCAAAATATTTCACTTTTCTTCTGTTATATGTTCTGTTATTCAGTTTTTGCCTAAGACTGGATGTTCTTACATAACTTATGGTCTGACAGCTGGAATCAAACACTGGAAATTACATCAGACACTAAAAATTCAAACTAATTTATTCCAAAAACATTCCAAATAAAATTGTACACAGAATACAAATAGTTTTACATGCCAGTCTTGACATATTCCAAGACAAGTTAGCACTTTAACTTTTTAGAGCTATGTGCACCTGTTAAACGTGAAAGGAGTAACATCTTGTCACTTTTGTCCATAGGTTTATACGCGTCTATAGCAGTATGGGCCGCCACACTGGCTACTTGACATCAGTGGGTCACTTCCATCTCATTACTCCAGCTGTGAATTTCAATACAGTTTGCAGGAAGCAGATAAAACAAGAGCAATAAACATGCCATGTACTCTTAAAGCAAACTCAAACTTCTATCTTTAACATCCAACCAACAGCATGAAATGAAGAGAATGTGCCAGCTTGTCAGGCCCATTGCATAGATCAGGAGTGATCGCAGATAAGCGTAGACCATGGCTGTAACATCAAAACAAACTACTTATTAACAAAAATAACTTCAGTGCTACTTTATCAATCAGAAACCAAACATGAAATTCTCTTCTGCTAAAAGTGGCATCCCATTTTTTGAGTTATGGCACGTCTAAGTCTACTGGCATGTATCATTACTTTGTCGATCCTTCAACTACTTGATATAATTTATTACCTCTGCAGTGCAGTGCAGTGCACTGAACCCAAAAGTTATTTCCAGTGATTAAAACTTTTGTTTTGTACACAGAAGTAAATATTTAAAAGAAAAATTAACTGTAAAATATACAAATGAATATTCAGTTTATCTTGTAAATAAGTAGCAATTAATTGCAGTCAGATCCTGTGTGGGACCTAAAACCTATTATTATGAAGACTGCTGCATTGATACTGCTCCGCAGAATTCAAACAGAGCCTTTTATCAGCATGTAATCCTAAAACATAATTAAAACAAAAAATAAAAACTTCTTCTCCCTGACACTTTTTAATATAACAGCAATTTCTCCATTCAACATTACCAACCTGCCAACTGGCAAGCACTTTATTCAACACAGAAATAGCACACTGCATGAACCTAATATCATGGTGCATATAGCCGCCACGGTGGTGTAGCGGTTAGAACGCTGGGCTTCCAATACTGGGGTCCCGGGCTCGATTCCCGGCGGTGCTCAGATTTACAACTTGTGTTGGGAAAGGCCATGGTCCAGGCATCATGGAGTTTTCCTCCGGGGTTTCCCTGGTTTCTCCGTGGCATCCCAACAATTACTCCACTTTCATCATCATTATTTCGCGAAAAGGTGTGTAGTGGATACAGGAGGAGGAATAAAAAGGGTGCATATACATATATAAATATATATATATATATATACACACTAAATGGGTGGGATAGGGCACAGCATTTGCATTTTCAACACAATGAACAATGCCATTTTATGCAGAACGGACAGACAGGCAATCAAAGTAAGAGGAAAGACTTTTGTTTGCCTGATCCTAGTATGAAGCAATTGCTTTCACGTTTATTGAACGTCATTAAATCCACCATAATTAGTTCATAACAATGCCACTCATTCCTTGCCGAGCTTCTCAATTTCATCCACATCTTCTGCATCCAACTTGTTGATCTTCTTGCCTGAAAAATGATACCAAAGTTTACTTTCTCTTTATGTCTAGGGAGTGGAAAAGGCTCCATACAGTCTTAATCCTGAGAATGGGTGGACGCGAGTGATGGCTTTCACGCTACAGCTGCTTTACCCCGAGGAAAAGAGCTCCTGGTACCCAATGGATAGAAACATGGGTAGGATCCGCGGTCAGAGTGGACACAATGGCAAACAGAATCATCCCTGCCCCTACAGGAATTATAAACTAGTATCGATAAAAATGTTACAAATTGTAACTGTAGAATAACCACTTACAGCCAATACCATGTTAGCCAAATAAATTATTAGTTATTTTCATATCACCATAATAAAAAAATTAAAGAAATAATAAAAGGTACCCACTTTAATAATGTTATACTGTGATATACATATTAAGAATTTACAAGACTGTCTTGATTTAGATATGCATTTCATTCAAATTTTTGCACATGAGTATCCACTTGAACAGGGCACTCTCTTGTCCTGGGGGTGGGAAATCGTCCCTGAAGGCAGATGAACTACCTTGTGTAGTCAACGGCATAGATTCAGGCAGGCAAGGGGAAACCACCTGATTATATTCCGATGGATTCAAAGGTAATAGTTTTGCCATGCAACCCGGCGAGTCTCGCGGACTGAACACCGCACAAACCAATCTGTGCTAGAGGAGCTCAGAATTCAAACCAGGCTCCTTAAGAGAAACGGCTCTATGGAGAAGCTGGTGGTGGAAGGAAAAGTGAATGGATGAAGACCACAAGGAATATCACCGAACAGGTGGGTCGACCAACTGCAGTCATTAGTGGGGAATATTCTGTACGAGGCCTCACAACTTGCCGTGGTCCAGAGGGCTTGGCAGGACGAAGCCAGGAGAGCCAACCCATGAAGTGCCACCATGCCCTGTTAAGGGTCAAGGACAGAGGAGGAGGAGGATCCACTTGAACAGCATTTTTCCAAATTTTATAAATTCTCATTATATGAAGGTTTATATCATTTGTCTGTAGGTTTTCATGGCTGGAGTTCAAAATATAACTTCAGCTTTTGGGTGAGAGCTGCACTGAATGTCTGGCATTAACCAATGTTTTGGAAAACATTCAACATGGTTCTCACCTGAAAGCCAAAGTTATAAAACGTCTGTATTACCTATATATATATGTTACTCCTTGTAAATTAATATAACAAGCACAGGCTACTAACTAATGTGCTCTTTTCAGAATTGTATACCATGCAAAAAATTCCCAATATCCACATCTGAAAATCTGTCTACAGAGTACACTTAAGACTTAACACTTACCAAAATGGTCCTCTATCTGCTTCAGCACTGCGAGTGTTTCTGGACCATCAACAAGGTTGATTGCAAGTCCAGCCTTGCCAAATCTCCCAGTTCTTCCAATCCTATGAAGATATGTCTCACAGTCTGCCTTACGTGCCAGATCTACGGGAAGGTCGAAGTTCACTACAATTGTCACCTGCTCCACATCAATTCCTGTCAGAGAAAATCAAAACATCAAGAGCACTTCAGAGTGTGGTCTAGTTCAAAAGCTAAGCGTAAAGAAAATGAACTTAAGTTAAACTTGAAACAAACACTTTATGTTCTTGACGTGCCGTCCTTTCGGCAAATGGTCGAGATATTTTGGGGACCAATGAAGTTACAGAACATTAGGTGTTCATGTAATGCACACCCCAACACACATGTGCACTAATTGGAATGAAGGCAGTGTCAATTGAACAAATAAGTTTACTTAATCAACAATTTCTGCAGTAAAAAAACAGTTGAGCAATGCCACCTGAATTTTGCAGAAAAGAGAAAAGCTTCCAGATGTGGGGACAGGCTGAAAATATAGTAAATAATCTGATATAAACAACTGACAAGGTTTCAGGGCTAGCACAAGGGTATCAGCACCCTAGGCAAACCTTCAGCCTTGCGGCCTTCTCCAGCTAATTTCTATAAATGAATACAGTGCATTAGTATGAATAAAAAAAATCTGCATTTACAATTTCAGATTTAGTTTACCACAAGATCTGTCATACAATTGATAATGACGACTGGCAAACTGTCACGAAATGTGCCAAGTGTCGACTTCAACACACACAAACCATTTATATATAATAACACGTACATTACAAAGCTGCAAAGGCAAACACATTTATACTTTTCTTCTGTTTTTCTCTTACCATTTTTAGACACTTACTACATTCTATTCTATTGTATTTATCTTTCTTACGTATTAATTGCAAACAGCATTTGCATGAGAGGACCAGTTAGTTGAAAGATTTACCTTGAAATAGTGATTAACCATAAATTTAGAGTAGTCTCTAATTATCTTAGTAGGCCCAATCCTTGAAAGTTGATTTTTCACTCATCACTAATATGAAGGCTGATATTGATTCTATGATGTGAGTTAATTTTTCTGAACTCTACTGCACATGCCATCAGTCTACAGCTTACCTCTGGCTAGAACGTTGGTTGTGATAAGCACCTTTTCCTTGCCATCACGGAAGCGATCCAGCACGGCTATCCTCTGCTCAATGGCCAGATCACCAGAAAGCAATGCCACTGCATGGCCATCACCAGACATCTTTTCCGACAACCATGATGCTGTCTTGCGTGTCTACAGAAATATGAGAACATTTTGTTCATAAAACATGTCACAGGGGCCTAATTCCCACAAAGCAGTCAATGATTATATCAAGGTTTGTGACAGTGGCTAATTCAATATACTAATATTACATTGTACATTATCCACTGCCTGAGGTACATTTAATACGCACAATTTTGGAGTTGGCTCTACACCTGAAACACCTCTCACATGTCTACGCATGCAGAGAATTATGGGCAGTTCTGAGCACAATGCAATAATGGGTATGACTCTGGCAACTTTCAGTTACAACTATAAGACGTTACGTAGCTTCTAAGTTCAGATAATGCTAATGTTACTGAGAACTACAGTTTTTCTTCATTTTCATATTTCCATAAATACTTGAACATAGAACAAATATTTCCCTAACAGCATCAATGGTTTTTAAACCTTACTACCTATTTTAATATAATAATTAAAAGTCAGAGTCCTGCACCGTAGCCGCGCGGTCTGAGGCATCATGCTTCGGACCGGTGATACGGAATGCGCGCTAGTTCGAGTCTCGGGGAAAGAAATTTCTCATGAGATTTTTGACCAGTGTATGGGACCGGTGCCAACCCAGCATCGTGAGGAAATTGGGGAGCTACAATTGGTAGCGTAATCCGGTCATGAAAACTAGCAACGGCTGGGGGTTCGTCGTGCTGACCACACGTCACCCTATATCTGGTTGGATGATCGTTCACCTCTGCTTAGGCATGTGAACGTGAGGCCAGCAGCCACCTAGTCGGCTTTGGCTCTCAGAGGGCTGTTACGCCACGGATTATTAATTAAAAGTCAGAAGACAGACTTGAAGATTATGCACTTTAGCCATTTTCTGATATTAGACAAAAAACAATTTTTCGAAATTGCATAAATTTTCATCACATGAAAGTTTCACTGCGACAATCTCTAAAATAACATTACTATAAAACAAAGCATTTATTAATACCCTAGATCAGTAGATTCTAATCTGTTCTTATTCACAGACCAGTACAGCAACAATGAATTTTCTAAAGAGACAAACTCTCATCTCACATTGTTCATTGCAGATAACAGTCCACAAATATAAACTATTACTAGCATGAAGATGGCAGTCTTCTGGGTTGTAGTGTGGTGTAGTCTGACAGAAGTCCCCTGATCACGAAAGCAGCAACGTTCACGATGGCCACAAACCAACCACAATTTAACAACACAAAGCATAATAGCAACTAAATAACTCACATGACAGAAAATCATGGCTTGGCCAATAGTAACGACACCATAGATGTTAGAGATGGCGGTGTATTTGTCCTCCAGATTGCGACACATAACATAATATTGTTTTATGTTGTCCAGACTCTCCTCTTCCCGCTTCAGTCGGATGATCACGGGGTTTGACACAATACCCTCAGCAAAATCCATAACATCGTGCTCATATGTTGCCGAGAAGAACATAATTTGACAGTTCCGTGGCAGCAATCTGCAAACATTGATGTACTGCATTAAACCTGCTCCTTAGTTTCAAGTGAACACATTATCTGGTAATGTTGGGATATGTGGTGGTGGCTAAAGTGAGGGTCAAGTGTATAATTAAACAGCGCCAAGACATGAACTTCCAACGCTAACTTCAGCCTTGCCACAGCACAGCAGTTTTAGTTTTGCTGTGAAGCACGGTTCTTTTACTTTAAGCAATATAAATCGCGAGTATTCAAAATGAAAGTACCACAGAAAATATCTGGACCTTAGGGAGATGAAATAAGGAAGGAGGAAATAATATAACAAAATTCTCAATATTTACACAGCTCACATACAACTACATAACTGATAGTCGGTTAGCACATGTAAGAGGTGTGCTAGGATATTTGCGCACGTCTGTAATCTAACATTACAGAAGATTGGAAATAGGAACATAATAGAATTTCACTATTAATGGTGTTGATATCAAAATGAACTCTCCTGATAAGGAAAATTCAGTTCTAACCATTAATGGCCAGGCTGTAAGTGAGTATTACAATTTTTTTTTATATCCAGTACACACCATTCAGCATGGTGTGTACTGGTGGTTAGCAGGATTCACGACCCATCGGTTCATGGGTTCGACCGGGACCGTTACATTTAACGCTCCTGCTGAGATCCCCTTTTTGCAAAATGATGATGAAAGTGGAGTAATTGTTGGGATGCCACGGAGAAACCGGGGAAACCCCAGAGGAAAACTCCGTGATGCCTGGACCACGGCCCTGCCCAACACAAGTTGTAAATCTGAGCACCACCGGGAATTGAACCTGGGACCCCAGTATTACAAGCCCAGCGTTCTAATCACTAGACCACCGTGGCGGCAGTAGTACAATGATCTCCATTAACAGAACCTGTAAGTCCAACACCATTAAGACCAAAGCTGACAATAAGACACAATACTGAGCCCATTCCATGATTTTGAAACTTTACAATTTCAGCACAATCCATCTTTGGACAGCGCACTACATAAGTACAATGGAATTCCTATTTAGCACTTTGCACCGAGCAGCTGTACACGTACCAAATCACTTTCCTCACCAAGAAGCTGGAGGTAGTACATGCACTCACTCTCGGAATTTAAAAAATCACAAAAATATAGAGAAACATTAAAAGTAGACTGCCATTAACTGTGCGACTCACTTGTGGATACGGAAACTCTGATCTTGATGTCCTTGAGTGGCAATCATTACATCTGCTTCATCAAGGACAAACACGCTAACCTTCCCTAGATCAAAGAACTGATACTTCACACCCCAGTCTACCACTTTTCCCGGCGTCCCGATGATGATGTGCTCCTTCAGTTTTGTCCCTCGAGGAACTGTAACAGTAAAACCAGTGCTCTCAGTATGGTCTTATGACCATTACAGCCTCTGCCCACAAGTAAAAGATGATGGAATCAACATCTGAGTTGCAAGCACCCGTAGCACTAAATTGTATTTATTTCTAGTTAAGAGTTGATGATGGTGGCTAACAAATAGGACCATTGTGTTGCCTAGTGTTTCAAGCATTCACAGGCAAAACATTGCCTGTTACGATGAGGGGAGAGGGTTTCAAACTTGAGGTCCTGCACTATAACATTCCCTAACCTAACCTAACAAACAAATGGTGCGTGAACTATGAGTTACTGATGTTAAGATGATCGAGGAAATCTTTGTTTTACTTGCTTATCTATGGCTCATTTCAGGGTGATTCAACTGTTTCCTAATTGTGAACCTTAAATCCTTAAACTCTACTTGGCTAGGGGTCATCAGAACTCGACACCACATGCCACTTACAACAGCTGACATAATGTAAACAAACACCAGAGCCAAGCAGTAATCCAGACAATTATTGAATATCAAATTCAATAGATGATACAGGGAACAATCTGTTCTAGCAAGATAGGGGGGAAGTCAAAGCCACCCTGTTTGGTGAACATAGCCCACAAATTTAATTTTTAATTAAAAATTTGGGGTCATCTTATGTCTGTTTTTATATGATAAACACAACTAGAATTTCTTAAGTCACAGCAGAAGCACATTGTCTTTGTAACACTGGCCACCATTTGCCACACTATTGCAGTCAGGTGTTAACAAAATGTGGCAGAAAGAATAGAAAATCTCTCAAATAATTCCACTTAACTACTACAAAAAATTCCTGTCCGCTCTGGGTTTGACGTAAAGGACTGGCAGATAAATTACACAACAAGAAAGAGACATTGTATAAAAAACTGTCATGATTGTCAAATTAATTAACTTACTTTCTTCTCCTCGCACTGCAAAGCGTATTTTAATTTCTGGGCAGAACTGTGCCATCTTCGCAGCCACCTCACCAGTTTGGATCGCCAATTCATATGTCGGGGACAAACACAGCACCTGAAAACATTACTCCTCATTTAAGGCTTTAACATAACAAACCAGCTGTGAGACTTGTTTAATTTATATCAATTGAAAAAGACACCTGAGATTAAGAATGCTATGTCTGGGCCTAGCATATCACATTTATTGATAAAGAGATACCGAACCATTACAGAATAGTATATAGCCTCTGTGTGCACGCACATGTGTATACACACATACAAACATACGTGCGCGTGCACTCTCTCTCTGCTGACACAATCAGCCAGATGTCAGATCTCATTCATTTTCAACACCAAACACTTCTACTGTATGTTACCTGTTACTCTATTAAATATTATATAATCTTCAATTAACCAAGCTTTATTATTGGAAATGTTACAGACATCAAATCACACAATACTTGCAAACTAAACTAATTAATTCCTTGAAGCAGAGTCTTTTTTGAGAAACTAATGTTTGCCCAGCCAGTCAACAGAGTCCTCGCCTATTATGGAACCCAAAGGTTCATTATTATGTTCACGAGTGCCTGCCACGCGTACCTATCCTGAGCCAGATAAATCCAAATCTCATTTCCATTTTCCATTGCTTAGTTCACTGCAAGGAGTCTGTCCCAAATCCAAAGCGCTAGGTAACATTTCATAACAATAAACCCCAATCTGAATGACTACCCCTTGTTTGTCTGCGACTACTTATTCAATATATCTGCAAGGATATCCCGTTCAAACAATACTTGCAATTTCCCATAACTAAATTACCAAAGTTTTACCACATCTTCCAAAAAAAAGCAAGCAGTTTTGCTCATTTTAATATCTCATACACAACTCACCTGGGGATAGTCCTTCTTAGGATCAACTCTGCTCAGCATGGCCAACACAAATGCCGCAGTTTTCCCTGTACCCGACTGAGACTGGGCTATCATGTTTTGTGCCCTGAAATGCAAATTGGCTTCCTGTACCCACAGCAAACACTGAGCTACAATAAAACTATCAAATACACGCCTCACATCATGAGAATACGGTTCTGGAAACATGACAAAATTGCTGTACAGCGACTGTGGAAATTTCATGCCAAAAATTTTCTTTAAGTTCTTCCAAAGACTGTGGATTGTTCGCACATGCTTTTTCTTTCAGTGTGCCCCACAAATAAAAGTCACAAGGATTTAAACTGGGTGATCACAGAGACCACAATCCTTAACTTATGACTTATTCACCAAAGATTTCATCTGAAGCAACCGTAAAATTGTTTACAGTGTGGCTGTTGCATTGTCTTCCTTTAAATGACAGTATGAGGTTTCTTCAACAGCCAGTTGATCAAAGAAGGATGACAGAATCAATCTCACATAATGTTCAGAAGCGAGTGTTTTGTGAAAAAACACAGGTCCAGTTATCCTCCATGCACTAATTTCACTCCAAACCCCAACTTTTAAATTATGCAATGGCACTTCATGAACAACATGGGGATTTTCTGTGCTCCAGTATCTGTTATTATGGCTGTTTACATAACTATAGGTAGGCCCCACTTTATGACACTTCATTTTACGCTGTTTCACATTAACACCCTTTTAAAATAATAATGGAAAAAATAAATAAAAAAATATAAGAAGAGAATTTGAAAACACAAGCATGTAATGTAAGGTAACGTTTCCTAGGTAACAACAATGCTAAGTAAACAGATGACATTTCCTACGTAATAACGAAAATAGATTGTTGATGGCAATAATGTAACACAACAATGCTAAGTAAACAGTGACATTTCCTACGTAATAACGAAAGTGGATTGTTGACGGCAATAATGTAACACAACAATGCTAAGTAAACAGTGACATTTCCTACGTAATAACGAAAGTGGATTGTTGACAGCAATAATGTAACACAACAATGCCGAGTAAACAGACAACGTTTCCTACGTAACATAACAATGAAGTTACACTTTTTCGTTTCCCTTTTTTGTAACACATTTTTGCCGAATGACCCTTCCTTATAGACGTATTTACGTCAAAATAAATAAACTTACGGATTAGCCAGGAGAGTTGGTAGTGCTGTCTCTTGTATCTTGGAAGGTGCATTGAATCCCATTGCATAGACACCTTTCAAAAGCTGTGGATCTCTGAAAAAAGAATTTAAAACCATAGTTCGTGCAGCTGAAAACAAAATCAAATCTTGTTTCTTAATAACAGCAAAAAAAATAAACTTACAGATGCAATGCTTCAAAAGACTTGATAGAAAAAAGAGGTGATGTTGGATCCTTTCGCTGGACCTCAATATCATTCTTGTTTTCTACCAGACCTTTCCGGATGATTTTCTGCAGTAGCGATCTTTCAGCTGGAGAAATTGGGGCTTCATCTACATTCTTATCTTCTGGTTCACCTTCAGCACCTATGCCAGTCTTCGGACTTCCATTAGGGATCCGATCAGTCTTATTCAGAGAAATACTGTCCACCTGTCATTGCAAAAAATCACCTTTTCAGAAAGTGTAATGAATATACTGCCAAACACTCAATTTCATACATTTAAAAATGTGCTCACACTTCCTTTACATACACAACAACACACATTTCAATTCTCTTTCCCATCCATTCAGAACGACCCAATATTATAAAAAAGTACTGCAATAATCAAGCTCTGAAGATGAATGTAGTGTGTTCCTCCCAAGTGTATCTATGTCCGGATGGTGTTACAACCCAGCAGACCAACACCGACGTCTTCACCGCAGTGAGAACTTCAAATTTCATTATTAAAACACCAAGTCTTTGAAAGCATGCTACAAATGAGTGAAACATCATTTACCTTTGTGATCAGTTTTTCTTGTTCTTCCGCACAGGTTACCCAATCAATATTTGCTGCCATTGGAAAAAATGATATGTACTTAAACTTATCGAGAATAAAAACGCACACAACTTAATTCTTTTAATTCAAACGCCACTTCATAAAACCGACCACCTACAGCACAACACAAATCGCAATAATGCATACACATACACAGACCATCTGGGTTCGTTTTGTGCTCTACCATTCCCCATATGTTGCTGTATTTCTGAACGAACCCGTTTCAGCGGCTATCTAATGGTCATACAAGAATAGTCAGAGGGATACGCATTTTGTCCTAGTATAAAATCTGAGTACAGAATCATCAGTATGTGAGGCGAAAAAGCGAACGATCAATGCATACAAATATTTTGGTGGGCTAAATAACGGATCTTCCGAGCAGACAAGTCTAAGTAGAAATCTGAGCGTGTACAGCCTCTTTGCGGAATTGTAAGAGTTGCCTCTAGCGACTTTATAGAAACTTCCACCTACTTTACCGCCCGTGTAGATGGCAGCTCTGTTGAGATACCGGTCCCAATCATTTATTTTACATATTGCAAACTAGAAAATCAATGTGGTGTGTAACAAAGTAGCGCGCGATCCAAACCTGTGCTCTAGCAAGCGGGATATGAGAGGGGCGATCTTAAATCGTCTTTGCCTACAAATGCTTTGTTTTCTCATATTCAATTCTATATTACGCATGCAACAAACTGCTACATCTTTCAATGTTAAATTACTGTTGCCAACAACAGCATGCTTGATGAAAGATTCTCAGGCTACAAGCCGTGTCAGGTGGTTGAATGGTATTCAGATGTTCCTTACACTTAACGTTAAGTGTAAACAAACTTACGGGCTCGTCTCCATGTCCACGTGTCGCGGATAACCCTAACCTAGGTTGCCCACAGGAACCAGACAACTACCAGGATCTCAAGGATCATACACCACCACCACCGAGGCTTGCATCCAGAGTTTGAATCAGTGGGGCTCTTTCTCCCCAAGACCCTTGCCCCCTTCTATCAGAAATGGGACTGACACTCCTAGTTTTACACAACTGCCACCGGAATCTTTCTTGGCAAAATCACAGAAGTTTACGGTAGTTCGGGCTCCACCAGGTTTTGAAATTACTAGGGAAAACCTCAGAAACTGGGAAGTCAATGGTGGAGAAAAGGGGCTTCGTTAATTAGACATGTGAAGTATAAAATACACATTTTGAATAAATACATCACTTTAAAGCTTATGAAATTAACTATATTGCTGAAATCCTTACAGAGCAGAAGAAAGCCAGAAATCAGACTTATGTCTGCAGTAAAAACATTTCTGTAAGACTTGAGGTTCTCACAGCGGTGAGTATGAAGATATCCGTCTTCTGGGTTATTGCGCTGTGTAGTCTGGTCGATGTATACCAACGTTTCAGAGGTCATACTGCCTCCGTCATCAGAGTATGAAGATTTCTGTCTTCTGGGTTATTGCGCTGTGTAGTCTGGTCGATGTATACCAACGTTTCAGAGGTCATACTGCCTCCGTCATCAGAGTATGAAGATTTCTGTCTTCTGGGTTATTGCGCTGTGTAGTCTGGTCGATGTATACCAACGTTTCAGAGGTCATACTGCCTCCGTCATCAGAGTATGAAGATTTCTGTCTTCTGGGTTATTGCGCTGTGTAGTCTGGTCGATGTATACCAACGTTTCAGAGGTCATACTGCCTCCGTCATCAGAGTATGAAGATTTCTGTCTTCTGGGTTATTGCGCTGTGTAGTCTGGTCGATGTATACCAACGTTTCAGAGGTCATACTGCCTCCGTCATCAGAGTATGAAGATTTCTGTCTTCTGGGTTATTGCGCTGTGTAGTCTGGTCGATGTATACCAACGTTTCAGAGGTCATACTGCCTCCGTCATCAGAGTATGAAGATTTCTGTCTTCTGGGTTATTGCGCTGTGTAGTCTGGTCGATGTATACCAACGTTTCAGAGGTCATACTGCCTCCGTCATCAGAGTATGAAGATTTCTGTCTTCTGGGTTATTGCGCTGTGTAGTCTGGTCGATGTATACCAACGTTTCAGAGGTCATACTGCCTCCGTCATCAGAGTATGAAGATTTCTGTCTTCTGGGTTATTGCGCTGTGTAGTCTGGTCGATGTATACCAACGTTTCAGAGGTCATACTGCCTCCGTCATCAGAGTATGAAGATTTCTGTCTTCTGGGTTATTGCGCTGTGTAGTCTGGTCGATGTATACCAACGTTTCAGAGGTCATACTGCCTCCGTCATCAGAGTATGAAGATTTCTGTCTTCTGGGTTATTGCGCTGTGTAGTCTGGTCGATGTATACCAACGTTTCAGAGGTCATACTGCCTCCGTCATCAGAGTATGAAGATTTCTGTCTTCTGGGTTATTGCGCTGTGTAGTCTGGTCGATGTATACCAACGTTTCAGAGGTCATACTGCCTCCGTCATCAGAGTATGAAGATTTCTGTCTTCTGGGTTATTGCGCTGTGTAGTCTGGTCGATGTATACCAACGTTTCAGAGGTCATACTGCCTCCGTCATCAGAGTATGAAGATTTCTGTCTTCTGGGTTATTGCGCTGTGTAGTCTGGTCGATGTATACCAACGTTTCAGAGGTCATACTGCCTCCGTCATCAGAGTATGAAGATTTCTGTCTTCTGGGTTATTGCGCTGTGTAGTCTGGTCGATGTATACCAACGTTTCAGAGGTCATACTGCCTCCGTCATCAGGGAGGCAGTATGACCTCTGAAACGTTGGTAAACATCGACCAGACTACACAGCGCAATAACCCAGAAGACGGATATCTTCAAAAACATTTCTGCTTGTCACTTTTTTAAAAGTCTTATTTAGTTGATATAAGAACCTTTCGTGTATTTATACTAAAAATGAATGTTATGGCACAATAAAACCAAACATCCTTATATAATTAGTAACATTTATCTCAGTGTGATATTGATGAAGTAAAAAGACGCAAGGCCTCTGTTTTTCACTAAGAAAACTTATTTGTGCTGCATATTTCTAGTTTACTTTGCCATGATAAGACCTTCATTTGAAATCCAGATTCAGCTTGTAATCACTGCATTTTTGCAACACCTTTGACTGTGGAAGCATTTTAAATATTTTAAGATAAACCCTATCTTGAAATATTTTTAAACTCTCTCAAGTTTTCATTCATTCATTCATTATTTTACAACCAAGTCCTCAATTACCGCAACTTTATTTACAGACATGGCTGTATAAATTAATACACTATATATATGAAAACACATTTAGGTGTGCAGAGAAATGGTATATGTCACTTTTTCCAGCAACGAACAAGAACATTCTGATCTGTGTATAGTTTGGACTTGTATTTTCAGGCTCTAAGTTTGGAATAAAGATGCCACCTACATATATAGGGTGATTCAAAAGGTTAGGGCCAAACTGAAGGAGCGTACAGAGTGACTCAGAGAGAACAACTTTTGAATAGGAACCCATGTCCTCCAAAGTTATCTTGAATCAGTCGAGGCCATTGAAGGTAGGGAAGTCTGATAACATACCGCTGAAATAATCGTGATTTGCTATTCTCCTACCTTCCTCAGTTTGTGCTTAGCTTGTGTCACCAGGCCTACTAGTAATCTTGACATTTGTATGAACTCTTAAAATATTTATTTTTTGTTTTGTGGTCGACTTAATGCATAAAAAATTATAAAGTAGTCACAGCTTAATTTAAGGTACTATCTCTGTATTTGCCATGAGAGACAGAGGAAAAGCACATCACTCAGTGCAGCCAATCTCTGAACCAATCACCTGGACATGTTCAGCATGAAGTGTAGAAGCCAGGTCATTTCAATTCTCATCACGCTGCATCTCAGCTATCAGAATCATCAATGTAAACCACATCTGGCCTGTTCCCAGAAAATGTTTTATTCTGCTGTTGGCTGAAAATATCCCTGATGCTGGTCTGTCCTGAAGGCTCGCCTTGACTCTGTATGAACAATGCACAGTGACATGACACATTCAAACATATCTGCACCACAACAGACTAACAAAATACTTCTCCCATAATGGAACTTAATGTTCAACACCAATATGAGGCATTTCAAAGTCCTCATGGCTTATTTCCGTAAATATTAATATAGTTCTTTCACTTATTTGATCTCAGAAGTGCATGCATAATGTTGTAAACTACATTATGTACATTTTGAAGGTCAAACTTCTTACTTCACCTAACGGCAAACATTTTACAAAAGTTGTGCTTGGTACTTGGATATACACAGAACGTTCTTCCAATGTAATGAGAAAGCATGGTTCATAAATTATTTTTCTTCTATTCCCATTTAACATCATGATGCTTATAATGAGTAATCTGCTACTGATATCTGTCACTTCATAAATAAACTGCAAGCTTTCAAATCTGGTGCAGTGGTACACTCACTTTCATTAAACAATATAAGAGTAACATAGGACATATCTCCAAAGACAAATGGGCATGACCGCCCCACAATAAATTCCTTGTTTATGCCATAACACCTTTCCTAGTCCTATACGAATTATACAACTGCCATGTGTAAACAATCATGTTTAGATGCTAACTCACCTTCCCCTTAAATAACGAGGAACCTCTGGCCTGGGATCGCCTGCCTCCCCGAGATCTTGCCGCTGTTGCTTGTCCCCTACCTCTTCCACCTCGACTGGTGCCAGCAACACGGATGTCCACATCAAAATTAGCATTGTCGTCTGAATCAGAATCAATGACAGTTTTGTTCTGTTGCACTTTCCTGGTGGGGTTCTGACGAGAAGGATGGTTCAACATGTCCTGTGCCTAGAGACAACAAGAATTATACATCTGCCATGAGCAAACAATCATGTTTAGATGTTAACTCACCTTCCCCTTAAACAATAAGGAACCTTTGGCCTGGGACTGCCTGCCTCCCCGAGATCTTGCCGCTGTTGCTTGTCCCCTACCTCTTCCACCACGACTGGTGCCAGCAACACGGATGTCCACATCAAAATTAGCATTGTCGTCTGAATCAGACTCATTGACAGTTCTGTTCTGCTGCATTTTCCTGGTGGGGTTCTGACGAGATGGATGGTCCATTATTTCCTGTTCCTGGAAACAACATTAATACAGTTACAGAAAGTGCTGTTTCCATGGTCCAGTACTACATAAATTAAAACACACTCTGGTAATTTGTGGCCCAGTAATCATCCAGATTCTTGCTCAACAGCATATTCAGAAAGGACAATAAATTGCTGTCAACTGTTCCGTTATAAAGTTCAATGCTTTTATATGCAGTCTAAATAGTTCATGTAAAAATATCAAAGCAACTTGACACATGGAGGTGTTGTGTGCCTCTGTAACATCGGTAACTACCTGCAAGACCAGACCAGCCACAGCCCAGAAGACCACATTCATCATTTTTTATGTGAGAAATAAAGATAACAGAATCGTGTATACATTTCACATCTCTCCCATTCATGTAAGCCCCACCCATCTTATCCTCCTTGATTTGATCACTTTAATAACATCTGGTGAGGAGCATAAATCATGGAGCACCTTTTATATAATTTTCTCCATCATCCTGTTACCTTCTCCCTTGGGCCCAAACATTCTCCTTAGTATTCTCAGCACAAATTTTTGGGGGGAGAGAGAAAAGAAACTAAGTCTACCTCCCTACATGCACTAGCCAGCCATTCTGCAGCAGTACACATTGAAATGCATATGCTTTAAACTAACATAACAAGCAGTCTACCTGACAAATACTACTGATTCAGCTTCCAATTCACACCTTACAACACTGACCTTGTGAAACTATCTCTTGTGTCTGGAGAAGCCTGCTCTCTTGACTGCCATAACGCTCAGAAGGAGTCTCTTTTAAATTACCATATTTCCTCAATTTTAAAACACCATTGATTGTAAGACACACCTTTGATCTAGTAATAAGTTTTAAGGAGAAAAGATGCTATATTGATTTTTAGATGCCATCAAGTATAATATGCACCCTACAATTTCAGAAATTTAAAGGGGAAAAAAGGGTCTTAAATAGAGGAAATATGGTACTTTTCTTTTCTTCCTGTTTAACATCATGATGCCTTAATATCAACATGCTTGTATTCAGTAATCTGCTACTGATGTCTGTCACATCATAAATAAACTGCAAGCTTTCAAATCTGGTGCAGTGGTACACTCACTTTCATTAAACAATATAAGAGTAACATAGGACATATCTCCAAAGACAAATGGGCATGACCGCCCCACAATAAATTCCTTGTTTATGCCATAACACCTTTCCTAGTCCTATACGAATTATACAACTGCCATGTGTAAACAATCATGTTTAGATGCTAACTCACCTTCCCCTTAAATAACGAGGAACCTCTGGCCTGGGATCGCCTGCCTCCCCGAGATCTTGCCGCTGTTGCTTGTCCCCTACCTCTTCCACCTCGACTGGTGCCAGCAACACGGATGTCCACATCAAAATTAGCATTGTCGTCTGAATCAGAATCAATGACAGTTTTGTTCTGTTGCACTTTCCTGGTGGGGTTCTGACGAGAAGGATGGTTCAACATGTCCTGTGCCTAGAGACAACATTTATACAATTACAGGAAGTGCTGTTTCCATGATCCAGTACTACAAAAATGGAAACCCACCTTCACACCTCATCCTCAGCCAGTTCAATCCAGTTCCCATCACTATAAGCTTTTTACCTATTTTTTATTTAATCTTTCTGCATTTATCTTGGTAGTCTGAATATCTGCTTCTGTCAGGTATCTGCTGTGTAAGAGCCTGAGTAGTGAATGCACTTCATGAGAAAGCATGAAACAGTCAGACTCTACATTAACTTTGTAGTTTAAATGCGTCATGTTTGTGCTTAATTCAGTAATATATTTATTTATTTCCGTCAGTACACAAACTTAGTTGTTAAAATTGGTGTTATTAAAGCTAAAACTTTAAAATTTGGCGCTTATCATCGCTATTACGATGTTACAATTTTAGCGCTCATTATTTTATTTCACAACATGTTTCAATGCAACCGCATCATCTTCAGGCTATTTTCGTCTTTAAAACTAATGTATATTTATTATGCAACTATCGTTGATTTGTTTGTTTTGTAGTTTTCATTTTTTGTAGATTGTTTCTTTTTGTTGTTCGTCTTGTTTTGTATTTAGTCGTTCTGTAGTCTGTAAAACAATTACATTAACATTTCTATTTTATCCTTCTGGCTTCTGCTTACCTCAGAAGGTAGGAGCACCTATGTCCGAGACACAGAGACAGAGGTTAAAGAAAAGGGTCCTCATCATCACCCTAGTTTCTCATGTTATTCTGACCATTTCATCATCTATGGTGCTTCGGCCCGTTTTCGGGCCATGACCTCAACACTTAGGATTCTTGGTATTTTGAAGCGTGTTTTTTTTTAGCAGTGAGTGACCAGCCCACTGACTGCCATCTAGCAGTAAATCAGGAGACTTGGGTGAGAAATAGCCGCTGAACTTTGCTTACGAAACATCTCGTATCATGCTTGTAAGGTTCTTTTATGACGTGGGACCGCCGGCTTTACTTCCCCACTGAAGGAAGATGTACTACAGATTTTTACCACCCTTAAAAACTCATCGACCTTGGCCAGGATTGAACCTGTGAACCTTGGGTCCAGTGGCAAGCACGTTAACCGAGGGTGACATTCTGTCCATTTATCCCTGTATACTTCTGTCCCTGTCTTCCTCATCATGACCACCTGCACCTCCTTATGTGCAGGTGGTCACCTGCTGGACCCTAAGGGGCCCATATGAGGGAGGGCTGCATCCTTTGACCTCTCTCTCTTGCATGAGTTTTCCCCCTCCTTCTGGACAGGCTGCGGTATGCCCCTCTCTCCTAATGGCTCCTGGCAATCACCCAATCCAAACCCTATCCCCCACTGGTCTAGTTAAGGGTCTGCCTTAGTGACTGATACCTGTATCTCAAACCGATTCCACACACGCAGCTTACTAATTAGAATTTGCTGTTTTCATGGTGGTGAGTCAGAAGACAGCCATCTTAAAAAAACACAGAAGTTACAAGAAGGAAAGAAAGGCAACAGAATGAAGGGGACTAAAATGATAGTATGGGAGAAAAAGGAACCTACAAGAACAGAAACATCTGAAGTGGAAGAATGTGTATAAAAGAGAAGCTACAGGTTCTCACATCTTTGACTTCCTCTTCTGCCTTTGAGAGCCGCTCCTGCCTGAAATTTTCAATTTCCTTTTCAATATCATCTTCTGCTAGTACCTTTGACAGCAGGTGGTTCATTGTTTTACTTATCTGATGGCTGAAACAGAGTAAAGCAACACATAAATATTCTGAGATTTGAGATTCTCACATTGGTAAAGACATTCATACTGGTTTTCAAGGTTACAATGCCACGTGAACTCGTAGGTAGATATCAGAATTTCAAAGGAACATACAAGTCCACATGTCTGTACAATCCAGAAGACCAATCTGAACAGATATACATTCTGATGGTAAACAAACAACTAATATATTTTCAGTAATACCAACCACTTGCAAGGAGACCTGATCAACTGTAACCCTGTACGGTTACTTGTTTTTACAGGACTTAAGAAATAACAGTGAAGAATGCAGAATATAAACCGCTTTTTACAAAGTAACAGTGGAGTGCTGACACCTAATATTATCCTCAGGAAGTCATAATAGGGTTCAATGCCATACTGCAAAACAGGACCTGAACTGCAGGGTAACAATCGACCAGGAGCCCCAGTAATACCACATGACTTCAAAATACAGAGGAACAAAAATAATTTTCTTCAAAATAAAAGGGTTAAAATTATCTGATTTTCACCACAAAAACCACCTGCTAGGTATTGTAGCTCAACCTAAATTTGAGGACTAATAATGAACACTAATATTAAGGTGAGTGAGAGATAGCAGTCTTCGAAGAACATCACCTCCCTCACACTGTTATGCAGTAGCCGAGTCAGTTGACAGCCCAAGACAAGAACAGGCGCTTTCCAGGCGATTGTAAAAACCAAAGCTTGCAATCAAGTTTCATTTGGGAAGAAGTAACTGGTAAATGTCTGCTACATATTTTATCAAAGCACATAAATTTTGTCTGATATTTCTTTTGTGCATTCAAAATTACAAACATAGCGACTACACAAAACCTTGAGGTCATGTATCACAACTCTTAAACACTCAAAATGTCTAATAGCACAAATTTCTGCTGGCTTAATTTAAAAATTTGTTTAAAGGGAGTTCTTTACAGAACTTCTTATTTGTTTTTTTATATTTTATACCACACAAATCAACATTACAACAGACAATATTTGAAAAACTTACTCGACTATGCACACCAATGCTTCTTTGTCCTCCCTGTCAATGAATCTAGATGCTGCTTCAGCTAGCCCTTTGATAGAGAGAATCTGGAGGTGCTTGTCAGTCGCAACATCTGCAAAGTAACACTCCACAATCTTCTCCACTCTGTTCCCAGAGACACTCTGCCGCTGTAATGTGAAATACTGAGGCTACCTTAATATCCTTTGAATGTCTCTTTCTTACTGATAACATTCTTCACCTTAGCAATTTTTTCAACACAAATTCTGATAAAACAACACAACAGATTTTCACACCTTCTCAATAACATTAATATTAAATCAGCTGCTTCTTGCTATACTGGATACAGTGATCATTAAAATAATAGTAAAAAAAGTTACAACATAGACACCACTTACTAAGTCATCAAAATAATGACGTTATTTGAACAAGAATAAATTTTTATTCACCAAGAAAACATCATACTGCTTGAGAAAAATTATGAGAATATAAAGACAAAACTACAACAGTGAAGAACCTTAGATTTGGCTCAGCTTCAAATTAAATAAATTAAAAATTAAATAAATTATTTATTAATATTATAAATAGCTAATCTTTCCTCTGACAAGAAAAAAGTCACCCATTGCCAGTCACGGCTTGATCTCACTTCCCTCAATAAAGTGTTCCTGAGGGTTTCCTCAGTTACTCCAGGCAAATGCCAGGATAGTATCTTACAATAGGCCATCCTTTCCTATCAGTTATTCAATAATCATCTGACATTATTTTGTCTAACCTACTAGCAGCAAGTAATTTTTATTTGTTTAATTAAAATATTCCTTAGTGATTGTTCCCTCTTATGATTATATAGCGCATATTTTTATTAATGTTCTCCTAAGTAGCAGAAAAATGTTGCTCTTCTCACATTCGCTACATAATAAGGTGGTGCAGGCCGCATGCTGACCCCTTGAGATAAACAATACGCATGATGTGAAAATAACAGAATATGAATTAACATGATTTTCCCTGCAACTAACTTGACAGAGGCTCCACATGTAGACAAAAAGACTACCACACAACTATTAATATAGTAACAATGTTCACAGCTCTGAGCAGAAGAGGGGCATGAACTTTATTTTAAACATACTCATGCAAATAGCTAGGGTAACTCAGTCAGTATAGTGACTGGCTATGGATTGGACGACTGGGGTTCGATCCCGAACGGGGGTAGAGGACTTTTCCTCTAGCCTGTGTCCAGACCGGCTCTGAGGCCCACCCAGCATCCTATCCAATGGGTACTGGAGTCCTTTCCTGGGGGTAAAGCGCAGCAGGCGCGTGACGCTGACCACTCAGCCCCAACTAGTGCCAAGGTTCAGAATGAGTAGGAGCTATACCTCCTCCCACCCCCATCCCCAAGCGCCTACATGGTGTATAGTGGGACAGCTTTACTTTTGCTTACATATGAATAGAAACTGTGAAATGTTAGTCTAGTCAGACAAAGCAGAACTTAAGGAACCAAACCAGATTTAAGAGAAGTAACATATTTTCCACAGACAGGTTTTCAGGACAGCAGAAGGATCGAGATTTTAAATGTTTATAAACAGTACATTAGCACAGACCCCAATAAATTCTCATTTTCAAGCAATGGGAGTGAAGACAAGAGACTGGAAATAAGATTTTTAGTCAGTGGTTGTAAACCCCACATATTACGAAAAACAAGAGTTTCCATTACAAGTCCAGTGCTATTCAATGGAATGTACTATGTGATAAAATTCAACAGGCTTTGATTTATGCATACATTCAAAGCATTGTTCAGCTGATGTTTGCAGCAAGGTGTTCACAGTGACCTAACATAAAAAAAGTGTCATAGTACACGTGCTAATTGGCTGTTATCAATTTAAAATCATTAGTTATCCCAATGAGAATGTTCCACACTTTTATCACTGATCATATACTATAAACAGTTCATCTTTCAATTTTCCCATTCATTAAAGCTGATCTGCATGATGGAATCAGAAACAAAAATCCCTGAATTTAACATTTTTTTTTACATATGAACATATAAATCTCTAGAACAATATGCCAGACAACCCTAAGCACCAAAATGAATATTTCAGGTACCACGATGACCCAGCACCAACGGTACGCCAAGTCCTGCATTAGAAAAGCGTTAACCTTTCATAAATTTTAAATTTAATTCTGCTGTCATACATACAAGCCTTCTCATAATTTATTTGAACTATGAATAAGCAAGTCAAAGTAACACTCCACAATCTTCTCCACTCTGTTCCCAGAGACACTCTGCCGCTGTAATGTGAAATACTGAGGCTACCTTAATATCCTTTGAATGTCTCTTTCTTACTGATAACATTCTTCACCTTAGCAATTTTTTCAACACAAATTCTGATAAAACAACACAACAGATTTTCACACCTTCTCAATAACATTAATATTAAATCAGCTGCTTCTTGCTATACTGGATACAGTGATCATTAAAATAATAGTAAAAAAAGTTACAACATAGACACCACTTACTAAGTCATCAAAATAATGACGTTATTTGAACAAGAATAAATTTTTATTCACCAAGAAAACATCATACTGCTTGAGAAAAATTATGAGAATATAAAGACAAAACTACAACAGTGAAGAACCTTAGATTTGGCTCAGCTTCAAATTAAATAAATTAAAAATTAAATAAATTATTTATTAATATTATAAATAGCTAATCTTTCCTCTGACAAGAAAAAAGTCACCCATTGCCAGTCACGGCTTGATCTCACTTCCCTCAATAAAGTGTTCCTGAGGGTTTCCTCAGTTACTCCAGGCAAATGCCAGGATAGTATCTTACAATAGGCCATCCTTTCCTATCAGTTATTCAATAATCATCTGACATTATTTTGTCTAACCTACTAGCAGCAAGTAATTTTTATTTGTTTAATTAAAATATTCCTTAGTGATTGTTCCCTCTTATGATTATATAGCGCATATTTTTATTAATGTTCTCCTAAGTAGCAGAAAAATGTTGCTCTTCTCACATTCGCTACATAATAAGGTGGTGCAGGCCGCATGCTGACCCCTTGAGATAAACAATACGCATGATGTGAAAATAACAGAATATGAATTAACATGATTTTCCCTGCAACTAACTTGACAGAGGCTCCACATGTAGACAAAAAGACTACCACACAACTATTAATATAGTAACAATGTTCACAGCTCTGAGCAGAAGAGGGGCATGAACTTTATTTTAAACATACTCATGCAAATAGCTAGGGTAACTCAGTCAGTATAGTGACTGGCTATGGATTGGACGACTGGGGTTCGATCCCGAACGGGGGTAGAGGACTTTTCCTCTAGCCTGTGTCCAGACCGGCTCTGAGGCCCACCCAGCATCCTATCCAATGGGTACTGGAGTCCTTTCCTGGGGGTAAAGCGCAGCAGGCGCGTGACGCTGACCACTCAGCCCCAACTAGTGCCAAGGTTCAGAATGAGTAGGAGCTATACCTCCTCCCACCCCCATCCCCAAGCGCCTACATGGTGTATAGTGGGACAGCTTTACTTTTGCTTACATATGAATAGAAACTGTGAAATGTTAGTCTAGTCAGACAAAGCAGAACTTAAGGAACCAAACCAGATTTAAGAGAAGTAACATATTTTCCACAGACAGGTTTTCAGGACAGCAGAAGGATCGAGATTTTAAATGTTTATAAACAGTACATTAGCACAGACCCCAATAAATTCTCATTTTCAAGCAATGGGAGTCAAGACAAGAGACTGGAAATAAGATCTTTAGTCAGTGGTTGTAAACCCCACATATTACGAAAAACAAGAGTTTTCATTACAAGTCCAGTGCTATTCACTGGAATGTACTATGTGATAAAATTCAACAGGCTTTGATTTATGCATACATTCAAAGCATTGTTCAGCTGATGTTTGCAGCAAGGTGTTCACAGTGACCTAACATAAAAAAGTGTCATAGTACACATGCTAATCGGCTGTTATCAATTTAAAATCATTAGTTATCCCAATGAGAATGTTCCACACTTTTATCACTGATCATATACTATAAGCAGTTCATCTTTCAATTTTCCCATTCATTAAAGCTGTAATCTGTATGATGGAATCAGAAACAAAAATCCCTGAATTTAACATTTTTTTTACATATGAACATATAAATCTCTAGAACAATATGCCAGACAACCCTAAGCACCAAAATGAATATTTCAGGTACCACGATGACCCA